CAGGGTTTCCGGGGTAACGGCTGCATTTAAATGAATTATTATTATTATTATTATTATTATTATTATTATTATTATTATTATTATTATTATTATTATTATTATTATTATTATTATTATTATTATTATTATTATTATTATTATTATTATTATTATTATTATTATTATTATTATTATTATTATTATTATTATTATTATTATTATTATTATTATTATTATTATTATTATTTCTGCAGTTTAGCGCCATCTGCTGTCAGAGAGTGAAAGTGCGCTTTCATCCAGAGCGTCTCTCACATGTTCCGCCATGTGCTTCTCGTCTGCGCTTATTTACATCAGAGTGCACATGTCTTTCACGCAGCATACAGCGGTGTTGTGAATTTTGACCAGTTGATGGGAAAAGTATTCTTAAAATGCATTCAAAATTCTGAATAATTTGTAATATATAATTATTCACGATATTTAGAAGTGCCCACGATAACAATATCGTGCATATTAATTACCGTGATATATCGCATTACCGAATACCGGCAAAAGTCTACACTCAAACACTCAAAATTGTTTGGATCGTAAATGAATCAGTGTTTTTGAATGAGTCGATTGAATGACTCATTCATAAAGACAGTCAGTTGTTTTGTTCCTGAATGAATCCGTGTTTTTTCGAAGCATTTGGTTGAATTAATGAATAAATTAAATAAATAAATACTCGCTAATGTCGCCAAATTTGGGATTGACGAGTGTATTTAATAACAGCTGTGACACTCAAACTTGCCTGTTCGTGTTCACATACTGTAACAACTCACAATATTCTAGTCGTTCATTGTACTGTATACATGAATAACTGATGTCAGTCCCCCTCTTTGTTCTTGCTTTAGGTCTAACCGAGAACATCACCTGTCACTATGACTAAAGTATGAAAGATAGTGATGTCCGTAACACAGGAAAGTCTTATCACATGTGATGTGACACTACTTATACCAGTGTGGGGAGCAACTCCTGTGCAATAAAACCTTCAGATAACACAACTCCTAAGTTATACCGCATATGAAAAAATTAGCGGCCAATCAAACCGGAGACAGGAAATAACTGTTATAAAGACCTGACTGTGTTTACCTGTGTGGTGCTGCTGAGTGACTCCATAATGTACTCTGCTTTATCCATTAAGCTTCTGTCACACAAACATCATTGTCATTGCAAACATACAGAAAATGTAGCATCTGTAATTAAATAGTGAATATTAATTTCTTTCTATGATACCTTTGTTCAGGTACAACAGCTGACACATCCGGGTTAAAGGTGAACAATATTTCTATAGGCAGAAAAGTGAAAAGATGTTATTTTGTATTTGGAAATTGAGCCCTTCTGTCTCTCTTTCAGATACCTGCAAAGTAGCATTATATCACCATCTTCACCTCACATACACATTGTGCTTAGCATGCATCATCAGTGCACCTGCTTTATTGACTTAACAATTGGTTATCTGTACAGTTCCCGTTTCCCGTTGTACCTTTGATCATTTTCATGAAGCATTGTGCATTATATACCTTAACTCCTCAAGATAAACTTTAACAGAATTTACAGAAACACTAAACAATGTTGCATTTATAAGAGGAGAAACAAAGATAGCTGTAGTCCTCTGAGGTTTTCCAGAGGACATCAAAGCAGGCAATCATCGATAACTCCATCACAAACAGTAGTGAACAGACCAATAGTATCAGGCCAACTGACGCAAAAACCCAAAACAAAGTTCTTAAGTGTGCAAGATAAGACAATATTATCATATTTGATTGAGATTAGGGACATGTTTGAAGGATTTCCTCCTTGTAATAAAACCAATTTAGGCTAAAATATATGTTTTATGTGTTTATATGTTTCAGCCAATTTTTTCTGTCATGTAATTTATCATTTATCTCAGAAAATTAACATTCAAAAACCAGACTGTTGTTTGTTCAGATACATGGCTGCGTGAGTATCTCTCCTCTGGCCTTGACTTTCATTTCAAGGACTCAGGCTCAATCTTTCCAAAAACCTTTATACAAAGATCTGGTTTAATTAAGCCTGACAATCACACAGAAGCATGTGAAGGGTCTTTGTGAGCTCAATCAATGTGTTACTCACTCAAAAAAAAAAAAGGTAAGTGAAAGCCATGCAGATTCAACAATGTTATTCGAATGCAATTCGAGTACAAAACTAAATGCGGGTAATGGTATTATGTGTCTGTTTATTTCTAGAATAATATTGAAACCTTACCAGATAGCATGTTCAGGGCTCTAATTTCATCAGATCTGCCATAAAAAACAACCAATTTAATCATTTTGAGTGGCATAATAATGGCATTTGAATTAAGGAAATTAACTTTTGATCTAAGCGATCATATCATTCATATTCTATTTACTATATAATTCTGTTCTCATTTTAAGTATGGAAACAAAACAGACAGAAACCAACAGTGTGATTAATTTTTAGCTTTTAAATTCAGAGCCTGACCTGAATTTAGGTATTCATTAACTTTAGTTAAACTAATGTGCTGCTCTATGTTAGTAAGTCTTTCAAGCTTACAATTCTGCCTTAACTCCAATGAAGCTTAATTGATATTTTAATGCACTTGTGATAAATTTGGACCTACCTCTTCACATCGGACAAAACCAGTGCAGATAACACAGACACATCAGCTGGCCTCATCGAATGGACTGCGAAAAGGATAATATGACAAATTATACACTGATATCCAGCCTAGATGTTAATTACTTTTCTCACTGTCTTATGCACAATATTCTTGTATAGATTCCTTTACCAGAAACTGGAGTGCTGGGTGAAGGGGATGAAACAGCACAATACAGAGATTCAACTGCAGAAACAAAAAATCGAACCCCGATAAGACACTGGCACACATCAACAAATTTGACTCATTGACATGGCATGGAAGCACAACTTGTGTGACAAATCCATTTCTGTGAGTGCATTACCTACATTGCATTGGATGAATTAGAATTAAAAGACTTAGAAGACAGATAGAAAGTGTATAAATCATACAGTCTCACATCTGCTCCATGACAGAGTAGCCTAATTATTAACCTCTAGGCAGGCTAAAGAGGGAAATCATTTCTAAAATACTATCAAACCAGTCATTAAAATGTCAGGAAAATAATCTAAGGAAGCTTTATGCATTAAATTGGAAGCAGAGTGGTGGAATATCAAAAGTGATTAAATACCTGCTGAACACCTGCATGCTAGAAGTGCCAGAATCATAATCTGTGCACAGGAAGAGAAAGTTTTATCTTTTATTCCCATGATGGAAAGAATCATCCGCTTCTTTGCTTGGTTCATCTGTTTAGAGCCACGTGGAGTAAAGAGCAGTTCTGAACAAAACTGTTGAAACGTTTAGCAACACCTGCTCTAATATATGACTGTAATCTTCCTCAATCACTCAGACACGCCTCCTGTTAGTTTGCATGTTTCAAGGTAGATGGCATGGAATTTATTTTTATAGATCTTATCAAGCTGTTTATTGGAAAGATATTGGCTAGGTCTATAGTCCTGTGGCCGGTTGCATAAACTACATAGACTAGTCTTACAAGGCATCCAATTTTTCTTCTTTAGGACTGGTCATAATTTTTTATAATAATTACATAAAAATAATGAAATAAAAATGAAAAATAGCCTAATTTGAATCCAAAAAGCAATACTGGCTAACTGCTAGCTGATCAAAATGGTTCTTAAGACAGTCTTAACATAGTGACCATGTTTATGCAAATGGGGCCTGGTTTTATGTCTTAGGATGATATAACATGTTTTCTTGACTGTTGTCCTGAGCAACACTACTTTGTTTTGTCAGTTTTAATTTCTTTGTTCACTCATGCAAAATACCTCATTCAGCCAATAAATTCATCAAAGCAACTGCAGATTTCTTGTTCAACACTTCTCAATTATTAACACAATAAACTGATATATCATTTTGGTAGCCATGCATATATACTGTATATGTGAAGTGAACTATTTTTGTTTTTGAAGGTGCAATTACTTTTCAAAGAAAAGAAAGTATAGAAGGTTGTATAGACCTCAACATTATATATATATATATATATATATACACAGTGCAATATGTATTGTGAAAATCACTATACAAATAATTTAAATTGAACTGAAAAATTGTTTATTTTATCTTAAATGAGTTCTGACTGAAAACTTCAATTACCGTGCCAAATATCCCAGTGCCAAGTGAAGGCAACCTGTATTTAACCAGTTTTTGTTGCCGTGTGTGTTTGGAGGTTCAGGAGTGCAGATATTGAATCTGATTAGATATGATTAGAGATGCTGTGAATTATGAAAGTCATTAAGATTTCTGAAGATTTACAGCTTCTCTGATTGATAAGATAAACATTTCATCCTGAGGTTACTAAACATGGGCAGATAGAAGATAACTAATTTGTGTAACGTTGCACATGCATCTACAGCTCAAAATGATTGACATCAGAATCAGATGATTGATGGCTGAGATGTTAATTAAGTCCCTATACCTGGCTGGGGTTAGGCTATGAGCATTGCCATATTTATATAAATGAAATAATATAAAACCAAAGTTCAGTTTTCTGGTTGCAGTGATAATCGAGTGGCTGAGTGGTAAAGGTCAATGACTTCCTGTGTGGATTTGATTGCCGGTGGTCTATGGATCAAAAGGTCAAATCTCAAAATGCTTCCAAAGGCTATAGTAAAAATCTGAAAAACTGAATGTAAAAGCAGTCAGAAACTTCTAAAAAATGATAAGCACTATGCAAGTTAGTTATGGTTCAAATATGATTGTGATATGATGTATTTAGCCATAATAAATAAAAAAAGTATCAAAATTATTGTTTATTTGCTTGTGACTGCAGCAAGGTACAAGTTAGGATGTCTGTTAAGCCTTATTGTGGAGCCTGAAAATATGAATGTTTTGTCTCAGAATGTGAACTAAATGCAATAGAAATCTTGTTATTAAGATTGCCATTATATGACAAGCTGTTAAATTCATCAATTGGAACAAATTATGAATTTAACAACACATCATAATATGATTCTATAATAAGTTATTCAAATTTAAGAATTTGATTTCATGAGATGTAGGTCTCCATTTTCATTTTGTATTATAAGTGCTTTTTTTTTGGTTCTGTTGTTATTATGGGAGTTTTTCCTCAACCATAAAAGCAGAATTGCACCTGCAGAGTCTCTACTTGGAGTTTGTCCCAGTTGGTGGATTTTTGGATGGTGAGGCCCCAGACTTCACATTCATAGTGCGCAATGGGGTCTGTAACAGGTTTGATTATTTATAGCCAGATTCTGGTAGGGGTCTCAGTTTTGATACATAATGCCCTTTGTGCCATGTCTCTGAAGACATCCACAGCCTTGTTGACGTTTTCAGTGGTGCTGCTGATATTAATACACAGGTAGTTTTGAGTATGTTCTAGGGACTTGTTATCTAGCTTGAAGCTATATTTGTAGTGGTTGCTCTTTTTTGGAATATCATTATATTTATGTTTTTATGGTTAATGACCAAACCCATGTTGTGCAGCATCCCAATTTGCTGCTCTTTTGGGTGACAACACCAAGATCTGCAAACAGCACTTGACTGCAGAGTCAACTCTATAGAAATGTTATTTATTGTTTTGATGATAGATTTTTTTTTGACATGGCGCTGAATTTCATTGAATTGAAGATCCTCCTGTGAAATGTAAAAGTTTTAAAATCTGCTTGCGAAATATATACATATACTGTATTTCTAAACATTTAGAGAACTACTGTTTCTCAGTGGCGACCAGCAACTGTTTGGTTACCCACATCCTTCAAAACATCTTCTTCTATGTTCAATAGAAGAAAGAAATTAATACAGGTTTGAAACAACTTGAGGGTGAGTAAATGATAACAGAATTTTCATTTTTGGGCGAACCATCCCTTTGAATTCTTCCTAGTTTACAAAGACGAAAAGTGTTGCAAGAAATAGTACATCCACCAGCAGATGGCGTCAAGTAATTTTTTATTACGCATTGCCAACGTCTACTCTGACGAATCTGCGCCATCTATTGATTCACATTGGGACACATGCTGCCTCACACGAGTCAATAGATGGCGCTGTTTCGCCAGTTGAAGCCGATGGTGGAGGCTCAAAGGGGTGGAGGAGAGGAGAGCGTGAGGAGAGCCCTGGGTCCACACATCACTGGATGCGGCAGCGGCATGTGGACGGCAGACACACCGGAGACGTGTGTGGGTACTTTATGCTGATACCGGTCCGGGCTCTCATAGGAGCGCATGACCCGCCGTGATGGCCGGGGGACGCAGAGGACTAGTGGCCCCACAAAACACTTTTCTGGAAAATATTGTCCGACGGTCTAACGGTAAGACGCACCATCACATCCAAAGCAGCGCACATACAGAAAGAGTATCAGCGGTAGTGTCGCAGATAAAAGAGAGAAAGAAAAACTTTTGGGTACATAAGTAAAAGACTTAGAAGAAACCTTTACATAAAGACAACGTACTTTTGACAATATAGTCTACTTAAATAATAACACAAACTAGAAAGTTAAAGGTGCCTGTTCACGCGGGGAAAAAACGTTATGCAGGCGCATTCTATAGTGATGTTTTACTATAGAATTTATTCGTTATTATTTGATTTTTTATGAAAAAACGTTAAACAGTTCTAAAAGTACAATTCTTTTCTAGATTTTTTGTTAAATTATATATAAATAGGCTATATATAGGCTAATTTATTTACATAATGCATAATTTATTTTTATATTAAGCTATAGTAATTAGGCCTATACAAATACTTAATACAGAGTAGCCTAATGGGCTGCAGGAACATTGAAATGTTGTTCTGTATTCTCTGCGTGACAGCTGCTCGTTCCCATTTGAGTTGTTCTCATACATCCTTCCATCAGCATGTTGTGGGATAGAGAACAACTTTAGGTTAAATGAATATTTAATAGCAATTAATATTTAAGAGCGCTGAAAGGTTGAAAACTGGATGAGGATCTTCACCAACACTATCTGCGAGATCAGACTGTGTTCTTGCACCCTCTGTAAGGTCTTTAAAATAGAATCCAAGATCTCTTTTATTGATGTTTATACATCAGGACCGCTTTTCTTATTCATGCGGTTTTGTTGCATGCATATGGCCATTTAAAACTAATCGAACATCAGATGTCCACAACTGCCCAGTGGACACCACCTCTGCATTGAACCCCAGTAGAGAGATCTCTAAGCTTTAAGAAAGATGTACTTTTTCATTTAAGTAGGACTTCTATTCTGAAAACATTGATGTCTGTATGACCTGCTTGGTCATATGGGTTAACTGGCCGTCTTGGAGAAGAACATGAGAATAAATTCCTCTTCCTCTATGGTGTTTGTGTATTATTTAACTCTTTTTCTGTTTTCTTTAACTTCCAGTTTGGACATTATCACATAGACACACAGGTATAAACCTCACTGAGCAGAACACTTGTGCTTTAACCTCTTTCATCCCTCCATTATCTCTCCCCCTCTCTTTCTCTATCTTTTTCTTTCTGTCTTTCCTTCCCTCCCTCCCTCTCTCTTTCTAGTTCCCTTTCGACATTAAATATTGTTCTATAACAATTTTTGTTAATTTACAAATGGATAGTCTGAATTTTAACAAAAAGTTTGATTAAACTCTTTTGTGGTTTAGTGTTAAAGTGGTTCAACAGTGCTGTTGATATTTCAAAGCTGCTTAGTTATGGTGAAAATAACCATGCAGATGTTGCTCCCTGGCCCTCATTCAGCGCTGACAGCACTTGCTGTAAAATAACAAATGTTGGCATGGAACGTTTTTCCTCCATAGTGGTGCGTGTGTGTCCACATGTGTGTGTGTTTGTTTTAGTTTGTCGAGTGAACTTCCTGTGTTTATGCTCAGTAGAGGAGAACTGTGCTCTGTGGCAAATCCACCACCATGCTTTTAAATCAATTGATATCATGGATCTGAGTTTCCCTTCACTTCTGTTTCTGATGCTGCCCTTCCACATTTGCTCATCTCACCTTTACCCTCCACAAGCATTAGCCATAGAAAGATGAAATGTCTGTCTGTGTTTAAATCATATGTGCAGTCAAAGTGACAAATGTTGCCATTCATGTTATTATGTCTGAATGGGGTGAAGGACATATTTTATAATGAAAAACAAAATCTATCAGAGCTTATTTTATTGTATTTTATTTTAGATCTAAATTCGTTTTAATGTTGATATGCAGTAGGGGTCAAAAGTCTGGGATTCAAATTTAAACCTTGAAATAAACAGTAATTTTAACAGGAAATGTTAACAAATGCGGTGAGGTAAAATGAATATGAAATGTTTCTAAGTAAACAAAAAGACAAATCC